GCCTATTTTTTCATAATCATTTGTTATTTGGGAGATGGTCTGGTGTAAAGGAAAGGTCAGTGGGCTGGAGGCAGAAAGAACCCTGGTTGTTACCCAAATTCTGCCACTTCCTAGGAAAGGTGACCTGTCCAAAGTCACCCAGTGAGTAAATGCCTGCAGTTATTATAATGACTCACGCCCCTGCCAGAAATCTGTTCTTAAAATAAAGATTTAAATGGTGTTGGATGAATGGTCGGGAGATAAGAGCTCTCAAGGTCTGTTACTTATCATGGCAAATCTCCACTTTATGAGACACACAAGCTATTTTGAATGTGAAGTTGAAAAGAAAGGACGATTTGACTTTAGGAATACTTCTCCTGGAGCCCTCTCGGCTCTAGAGGATTGTGAGAGGAACTATTCCCTTACTTCTCTACTCTTTACCTTTTCCTCTTGGGAAGTGGCCTGCGTAAGGGCGGAAGGAAAGACACACACAAAAGCCTGTGTGCAGCCCCTCCTTCCTGGTCCCCAGCCTTTGCTGATTTCAGCCTATTCTTTTTTCATCCGTGTCACCTTTGGTCAGTTGCATGAAGAAAGGATCAAACCAAGCATCCTCAGAGGGGAATGCCAAAGTCATTTTTCCACTTTCCAACTCGTAGGAGTGTTGGTAAGCTCTGAGCAAATTCCTAGCCTTGGAGCTGAGATGGCTTAGATTAAAGCCTGAAGATAATCTGATGAAGCTCCTCCCTGCCTCCCACTACCACAGTGGTGGATACATTGGTGAAAGTCAACTGTCAGCCCCCAACTCCACATAGTCAGACACACCTGCAGGTTAGGACAAAAATCTGCAATTTACAAAGTAATGGTTTCAGCATCTGTTTTTAGAGAGCCTTTAAAAGGGACTTGGATAATTTATTTCTGTTTTTAAAAAATAAGGCTCTGTTTTGGGCCAAGTTGCTTATACACCTATGGGCATGTCTCCAATGTCTTGGCTATTAAGGTCTTTAAGTGACAGTTTAATATGTTTTTAAGATTGAGGGAGCCAACGACAATTCTCAAGGAGCCGTGTTTACATTGGATCAGCTCACCCGGGTGATGTGCCAGTAGTTTTGCACACTGCAGGAAGTGGAGGTGAAAGCAGGAAGGGTTGAGTACAGAGGGAAGGCCTAGCCTGAAGGACAGGAAAGCCAAGAGGGATGTGACGTAGAGAAGCACGGAGAGAGACATCCAGGTGGACCTGGCAATGCACTTAGAATTACCATCATTTAACGCCCCGTGGGCATTTTGTTGAGGGGTGAGAATTTCTAATTGGCTCCCTGTGGAGCCAGCCCACTGGTGACTGCACAGTCAACTATGAACAGGCTCCTAGCTCTCTTTCTTCTAATCCCTTCTAAATTCCTACAGATGGCTCCTTGAGAGTCAAGGGGTCTGTATTCTTGCAGAACCTAATAGGCTTCAGTACATTTTCTTTGCAACTTCTGACAAGGAGCTTGATTCCTCTGGGCCTCAGTTTCCTTATCTAAAAAGTAAGGAGCTCCAATTCCCCTTCCAGGCCCAACATTATATAACTCCAAAGTGAAACGCTCAATAACTGGCAATCCACATTCGGAAGGGAAGACTATTCCACGTAAGCAGATTTTGCATCCATTGGGTGAGAATGAAGGCAGATTTTGCATCCATTGGGTGAGAATGAAGGCAACAGCATTTGGTCATTGTCTTAGCTTGTCAAAGCTGAGCAATGGCTTAGGTTCAGCTAAGTGCAAGCTGGGTGCTCTTCAGATGGGGACAGTTATAAATAAAAGTGTCCTTCATTTGCCAAAAGACTCCTTTCAGCATCCATGCACCCACTGAAATGTACTGCCACCACCAAGGACTGCCATGGCTAACTTTGAGTGCTCATATGCTGAGCCTTTTATGTACATCATCTCACTTAATTATCACAGCCACCTTGGCAGGTAGATGTTGTTACTGTTTCTTCAACTTTCAAATGAGGTGAGGATACAGACTCAGAGTTAATTAGCTTGCCCAAGAGCACACAGCTAGTAAGTGGTGGAGCTGGGACTTAACCCAGATCTGAAGCCAAAGCCTGCACTAATAATTTGCATCCTTAATCAACAAGAACAAATCCATAGTTGAGATTGATTTCACCCAGAAAAATGGCATTTGGCCTTCAAGGCCCTTTGTTATTAAGACATGTTGGCGATTTCACCATTTTCAGGGAACTGTCTGGGCTAGGAAACCTTCTCTATCCTAACAGAAAAAAAAAAGACGGTTCAAGAGCAGCCAGTGGTAGCATTTTACTTAGAAAGAAAGAGAGAAGTTGGGGAACTTGTAAGGTCTGCCATGATGTATGTATGTGGCCCCTAGTGAGTCTCTTTCCCTAGCCTGCCTGGGGTTGGTGAGATGATCTTTAAGTCTACTCCAGTTTTTAGATTTTGTGTTCTCTGCTGAAGATCTTTTTATGACTATCCAGTTGGTGGGGATTCCTGCCCCAACCCCCTTGGGGGTAGGGCAATGGAAAGAGCCTGTATGCCATTTCTCATTTTGTAAATAGGCCCCTTGTAGCTCTAAGAGTCTATGAAATTGTTTCAAAATGTCTAAGTGTGATTATGCATCCTGAAGCCAAATGTTATAAACCTCCCCCCCACTGTTACAGATTTAAAAAATAAATATGCAGTAAAAACTTTTCAGCATGTTGCTGATATCACGTAGTACTTAATCACTTCTGTGACATTCAGTTCAGCAAGAGGAGCTTGTCGGTTCTCTTCCCTCCCCTCCACATTTTGAGTTGAAGGCATTGGTTAACCTACAAAATGGTGGTCTTCCTCCTGATTGTCGCAGTCCCAAGAGGTAAAAAAATATCTGCCCTTTCATCTCTACCCACCACATTCTTTCTCTAAGCCTGTAATTGGATCTAAATGGAAAACAAACCCTTTGCAGGCCAAGGAAGTTGGCACTAGGGGGTGACAAGAAGGAGAACATGTTCCACCTCTAATCAGGATAATCACACTCTCCTATGCAAAGGAAAATAAAAACAAGGCTTCCTCCAAGTGGCAACCCAGGACTGCAGTGAGGAGGGGGAGTCTCCATATACCTCATCTCACCTCATACAGTAACCATAAACCAGCTTATGTTAAAAATACTCAGAATCATTTCACTTTCCAGAGGACGATGGAACTCTGCCACCTTTAGCCCGGAACTATTCTGTGTCTGAACTTGGGGAGGCAGTTCAGACACACAAATATCAATGGTACAAGTTAAAAAATAATGCATAAAATGAAGCCTATGCAAACAGTGTGGTCTTAGCTGGACAGACATTCTCGTGGCTCACTCATACGTTTTTGAGTCCTGCTGTGTGGCATGGTGTGCTATGTTCGAACAGGGATGAACAAGACAGGTTCGTCCTCAAGGAGTCCAGAAAAATGTATAGAGAAATAAGAGCATTGCATGCATAACTCACTACTAGGTAGAGATTAATAGGTATCTTCTAAGAGTCTAAAGTAGTATGGTAATTTCTGTAGAAAGGGAAATGACTTGATTCTGCAAATAGCTTGGCAAACGCAATGAGGCATGATACATTCCAGAGAAATGCCCAGATTCAATGTGACTTGGTATACCATTTAGAAGGATCCACTGGACTCTGTGATAGGGTCTGGGCAAATTGTCTATAAAAGATCACAGCTATAAATTAGATGGTGAATGCTGTGCCTCTAAGTGGCTGTTTGTGTCTTTAGTTTGATTCTCACAGTCTTTTTTCTTCCCCCTCTCATTCTATCCTGCAGGTTAATGGCAAATGTTTAAGGAAGACTTTGCCCTGCAAGACTAAATCCTGTGAAATCAGAGTTTAACAACTACTGCTTTGGGAAATTAACTCACAGTGTCAATATCCCTGCTACCACTGCCCTGAGGGAGGTTAGGTCTGTCATCCCCACATCAGAGACAAGGAAACTGAGGCTCAGAAAAGTGACTTGGTGAATACTGTGCAGTTAAAAAGTGGCAGGAACTGAGTCTGGATACCTAGGGCTTTCCTTACAGTCAGCTGCCTGCTAGAACCAACTCTCTGTGACTCCAGGCCTCAGTTCCCCCATCTGTAAAGCCTAGGTAGTCTCTCTGTTCCCTTCCCATTCACATGTTCTCTAAGTCTCCAGCCTGTGCCCTCTCCCAGCTGCATTCAGGTAAGCAACAAATGATATTGGAGCTATAGGCACAGCCGTAGTCTCCTGTGAAGGAGTTTACCCGTGACCTTCTGGGCTCCGGGCCAGCCCTTCTTGAAAGGGAAACGTGCAGACCCTGGGGACAGAAATCAGTTCCCTTATACTGGAACTGCTGCCACTGCCAACATCACCAACTA